TCTGCATTAGCTTTCATAAGAGATGCTCATCTGCTGTGTTTTCTTGTAGTCTTCCCTTCCTTTCTTCCTTCCTTCCTTTCTTTCTTTTCTTCTTCTTCTTCTTCTTCTTCTTCTTCTTCTTCTTCTTCTTCTTTTATTATGTGTATGGCTATTTTCGCCAGCATATTTATCTGTCTACCACATGAATGCTTAGTGTCCACAGAGGCCAGAAGAGGGCATTGGCTCTCCTGGAACTGGAATTACAGACAGTTATGGACTACCATGTGGTGCTGGAAATTGAATCTGGGTTTTCTGGATGAGCAGGCAGTGTTCTTAACTGTTGAATCATCTCTTTAGTCACTTATAATGTTGTTTTAGCTTTGATATTATGGTTTTGCTGGCTGGAAAGGAGCTAGGAAATTTTCTCTGTGTTCTTTTTTATTTTTTAATAAACATTTGAAGAGGTTTAGTATCGATTCAGCTTTCTTACACATTATATATCTATTCCAGTTTTCTGGGTTTTTTTCCCATGATTTAATATTGGTATGTTTTTATAAATTTCTAGGAATTTATCTATCTTGTCAGTACACAGTTGTTTATAGTGTCCCATAGCCCCTTTATTGTTATAGAACCTGTAGCAGTGCCCTCATGTTCATTTATGATCTTGCTAACTTCAGGTTTTTTTTTTCATCTACTTAGCTAAAGATTTGCTAGTATTATTGATACTGTCAAAGAAGCATCTTTGCTTTCACTGGATTTTCTCTTGTGTTCCCATTTTATGTCATTTACTTACTCTAATAATTTTATTTCCTTCTGCTAGCCTTAGATTTAGTTTGTTCCTCTTTTTATAATTCTTTAGGTTGTAAAGTTAGGTTGTTGGTTTGAGCTTTTTTAGCTTTTGTAGGTATAAATTTTCCTCTTTGCAACTGCTTTCACTATGTCTCATAAATGTGTGTTTTCCATTTCTAATTTGCTTGATCCATGAGTTATTTAAAGGAATATTTTTCAGTTTTCACATCTTATGAATTTTGTGATTTTATTAATTTTTTTCCTGATTTCTAAGTTCATTAGATTATGTTCAAAGAAGATACTATGTACCATCTTTTAATACGTGTTGTGTCTAAGTTTGCCACATAAATAAACACGATCCACATTGGACCCCTGAGACACACAACAAACAGCTGCTGTGCAGACAGCTCTGAGGACACTAGGCACTTGTCCAGTAGAAACTCAGTATCAGCGTAAACCAATAGAAAGGTAAGAGTCTACAAGTTGAACTATCCTCCCCATCCATCTATGTGTATGACTAGCAATTTCTAGCTTTCTAGAACCTAGAAAAGAAACCCCAATACTTCTTCCTCCTCCTACTCAAGCCTATTTCTTTTCTACACATTTGGGAGGTATCATTACACAGGCATGGTTGACTATGTATAGGGAGGCGATTGAACTTATTTCCAACACCTTGCCCTCCCCAGAAATTCAGAGCTAGGGTCGAAAGTTTCAACCCTGTAGTCAGTTGTTTTCATTGGCTAACCGCCATTCTGAAGCTGTTTGAGATTCTCCTCTAACTCCTACCCCTGGAGTGATTTTAGTATGTAAAAGACAGTAAATTCTAAAGTGCCAGCCAAGGACTATAAAGACCAAATACCTAATTTTTTTATTATAGTGCCTATTCAAATTGCATACAGTGAATCTTCCTGAATATTTTTTTCATTTAAACATGTAAAGTTTTAATATAGGTAATTTTCTTATATACCTATATTATAAAACAAAGTGAACTTTTATAAAACAAAGTGAACAAAGATGGATTAATTTAAGAATTTTAAACTTTCTTATTTTGTTCGAGATCTTTTTAGTTAGGCTTGGATAGATATGGAACTAACAGATTTATTATTAAGACAAAGCAAATAGTAAATTCACTTGGGAAGACTATAATGTGCTAGATGTGAATACTTTTGAAAGAGAATGGGCCACTCTAGAGGTTTATTTATTCCTTTTCTGTATTTATATACTTGAAAACTATCGGTGGGTGGTTCTGGGGACGCGCGATTTTGTTTGCCAGGAGACATTTAGCAGTGTCACAGCTGGGAGGTGAGGATTGATGCTGGTGTCTCTAGATGTCACTAGAGATGCTGAGAACTCCTCCGTCTTAAATTATTTAGTCCCAAATGTCACTTATATTAAGGCTGAAGAACTCCGTCATATGCCAGTTTGGGAATTGGCAGTAGTTAGCTGTATTTAAAACTTGAAGTGGTTAGAGTCACTAAGTTTATGGCTAGTTCTTCATCCCTTATCTACTTAATGGGTTGAATATTTTGATTTATATGGGAAGCTCTCTTTTCTTTATATTAGTGCTCTTTCTCTCTTTAAAAAACATTTATTTATTTTTTTGGAGGGGGAGTCAGGGAAGCATGCGCCATAGTTTATTTGTGGAAGTCAGGAGGCAGCTTGGGAAGTTGGTTCTCTCCTTCCACCATGTGAGTCCTGAGTTTGAACTCAGGTCGTCTGATTTGGCAGCAGTAGCACTTACCTGCTGAGCTAGCTCTCATCTCTGTCCTGAGAAATGCTTCTTATTCCAGCTCCCAACCTACTTATTGAGAAACTACACTGTAACTATCCAAATTACCTAAATCTGGTTGTTAGCTAATCTACTGTATAATTTGGGGGAGGAAAAGCTATAAAATCCTTGTTCTTTTTATAGTCCTAAGCTTTTCAGAGTTTCACTAATAAACATTTATATCTAAAATAGAAAGATTTCTGGGGATTAGGTATGGTGTCTCAAGCCTGCAGTCTCTGCACTCAGGAGGCAGGGCAGGATTGCCTTGATTTGTAGGCCAGCTCAGGCTACAGAATTTTTCTAGTTTTTTTTCACTTTACTATGTAGGTCCAGTGTTTAGTACCTTTTTATTACTAAATTTTATTTATTTAGTATGCATGTGCATATGCAGCCATGTGGAGAGCAGAACCTTTGGGAGTTGGTTCTCTCTAGTGTTTGAGTCCAAGGGATTGAACTCAGGCCATCAGGTTTGAGATTATATGTTCATCCACCGAGCCAACCCCATCATTAAGGGCATTTTTCTTTTTTGTTCCTTAAAAAAAATCCGTCTGTCTGTCTGTCTATCTATCTATCTATCTATCTATCTATCTATCTATCTATCTATCTATCTACCTACCTACCTACCTACCTACCTACCTACCTATCATCCCAGCCACAGTTTCCCTTCTCTCTCCTCCCACTCTCCTCTGTTCCTACACCCCAATCCACTTGTCTTTGCTTTCTGTTTAGGAAAGTGCAGGTCTCCATTGAGTATCAATAAAACATGGCATATCAAGTTGCAGTAAGACCAAACACCTCCCATGTATTAAGGCTAGGCAAGGTGACCCAATATGAGGTGTAGGGTCCCAAAAGGCAGTAAAAGAGTCAGAGACAGCTCCTGTTCCCACTGTTAGGAGTCCCACAAGAAGAACAAACTACACAACTGTTCTATATATGCAGAGTGCCTAGGTCAGTCCCATGTAGGCTCCTTTGTTGTCAGTTCAGTTTCTGTAAAATGTATTTTGATCATATTTCCCCTTCCCAAATCTAAACAAGCAAACTTTGAAAAATCAACAAAATAAAAAACTACTCAAAACAAAAAGAAGAGAAAGAGAGAGAGAGAGAGAGAGAGAGAGAGAGAGAGAGAGAGAGAGAGAG